ATACTGCTGAGCACACTAAGGGGTGTACGTTTTAACCAACAATAGCCAAGTAGACAGTTTTGTTTTGAAATGAGATATGAAAAAAAAATAGATCTTTTTCACAACGATAATGCCAAGAGGATAAGTTGGTTCCAAGTAATCCTCTTATTTCCTTTTATGTAGAATTCCACAAGAAATGAAAATTTTGTTTCTGGTGTACCTCAGCCTTATATACATGTGAAAACGTGTAGCCAACAGTATGACAGGCATGTCATCAAGTAGGTGACATTTTGGAAGGTGCTGCTGCTGCTGCTCAGAAGGGCAAAAACATGTATTTCTATTATCACAGTTTCAAAAGAGTGAAAACCGAAAAAGAAGTGCAATGGTGTGTGGTCACAGGGCTGACACCAGGAGAAAACTGTGACACCTTGTTACTATGATAGCTCTAGCCTTGTCTCCTCGCTGTCTGTCTCCAGACGCAAACATGCTGAGACAAATGAGCCTTCCAACTAAAGGACAGTCCTGCCTGCCAGGGAGAGCCCAGGTTCTGGATGAGAAAAAATGCTCATCTCTAAAAGATCAAGAATAACTTTCTTTGCCTAAATTTAATATACAAAAGAACACTTCAATTCTTTTCAGCAAGAAATATTTTTCATTTAAAGAAACACTGAGATTCAAACTCTAAACATTTCTAACTCCATTCATCATGTGATCTTATTCTTTTCATTCATGCTGCTATATGCTTAAAGCAGGCATCTACTATCCTGATTATTTTGTCCTCCAGGAATACTATGAAACCTAAAGATCAATCCTCCAATAAGTATATAAAACTAAATTAGTCCTACGCAGAAAACTATACGGAAACTTGAACCAAAACTCTCTGTCCCAAACCTGCATGTAGGAAAACACTAAATATTTCCTAGCCGAGGATTCCCTGTGCTGTTACTGTATAAAAGATCACTAATGATGAATCTAATAGAGAAACACACACTACTGCAGGCTCTCCCTACTTCATTGAAGTAAGCTCTCTTTCTTTTGTTCATTTTATTCCCCAGTACTTAGCAGAGAGTTGCTCTAAATAATTTAACATTAAACCATCATTAAAATATCTGTCTTATTAGAAACCAAACTGACAACTATATCGTTTTACAGATTTTTTAAACACTCTCGAAAGGTTTAAAAATCTTATACTTTTCATCTATCTGTATCTTTAAAGTGTGTCTTTTAAACCCCAAATGAGAAACCTGTCTTAAAAGGGGAGAGCATGTTTTTTCAAAACTGCCACTGTCAGAAAAGAAAAAGAAACTGGGCGTGGTGGCACTCGCCTGAAATCTCAGCAGCTCCGGAGGCTGAGACAGGAGGATCTCAAGTTCAAAGACAAAAGTGTGTCACTAAGCAACTCAGTGAGACCCTGTCTCTAAATAAAATACAAAATAGGGCTTGGATGTGGCTCAGTGGTCAAGTGCCCCTAAGTTCAATTTCTTCTTTTGAAGAAAAAGAAAGAAAAGAAAAAAAGAGAGTAGAAATATTCAAGTTGAAAGGAGACTAAATGTAATACCTGCTCCTATGTTGATTTCTCTACTAAAGGAGTAAAAAATCTGCTCTATCAAACGTTATTTCACAAAACTAGAAATAGTAGTTTAGATAACAGCTGTCAATTTTTCAAAGAAAAATGTGTATGCGCATGTACATATAGAGAAAACAACTGATCAAGTGTAAATTGCTAAAAATAGTTAAATCTAAATAAGGAGGTATATGGGTATTCTTTGTGCTATTCTTACAACTTTCCAAAAATTTCAAAATCCTTTAAAAAATTAAAAAGTAATAAAATGACATAAAACCCAACTCTTGAAACTGCATGGCTGTGTCTTACTTTTTATTTTGTTTTTAATCCTGGATGATCTCTGGTTTTTGGCAGTATCCAGTCATTTACATTTAATGTGATTTTTATATGTCTAAAATCTTGCTATTTGTGTTCTATTTTATCTATCTGTCCTTATCTCTTCTTTTTTCTTTGTTCTTTTTTCTTCCTTTCTTGCTTTCCTTTGGATTAACCAAATATTTATTCAAAATTAAATTCAATCCCCTCTATTGGCTTTTTAACAATATCTCCACTTCAATGTTTTAGCATGCCAGGAATCAAACTGTGCATCCTTAACCTATCCTAGTTTCTACCTTGACCATTACACCCCTTCACATATGATGTAAGACATTTACAACTCTACAATTTCATTACCCTACTCTCCTGTCCTTTATGCAATTACTGCAACAGCTTTTAGTTCCAAATATATTAAAAAAAACACATATTACTATTGTTTTTACTTTTAAAATTCCATTAAGGAAAGATAAAGAAATTAAGAAGTGAGAATTTTTGCTCATATATTTATCTTTATGGCTCTCTTTAATTTTTCTTCTAGATCTGAGGTACCATCTGGTATAATTTTCCTTCAGTTTGAAAAACTTTCTACATTTCTTTAAGTGCAGGTACAGAGGCAACAAATTCTTTCAGCTTTAGTTCACTTGAAAATGTATTTATTTTTATCTTCATTTCAAAAGATATTTTCAGTTGAGAACAAAATTCTAGATTGACAATTTTTGGTGTTTCAAACACTTTTAAGATTTCTGGCTTGCATTGTTTCTCATGAGAAGCCAGTGATAATTTTTATCACTGTTTCCCTATAGGCAATGTGTCCTTTTTTCCTTTGGATATTTCTAAAGACTTCTTTTCTTTAATTTTGAGCAAACTGATAATGATGTGTCTAGGCGTTGATTTTCTTTGTGTTAATCTTTCTCGGGATCTGATAAGTTTCTTGGATTTGTGTGTGTACATTTTTCAACAAAATTTAAAATTTGGAAGCCATTATTTTTTCTGATTTTTTTCTGCCCTAATTTATCTGGCCCTTATTCTTCTATACCTGTAACAACACAATTGATAGGCTGTACAATAATGTCCCAGAGCCTCTTATGACTTTGTTCATTTTTCTTTTTGGTCTATTTTCTCCCCATACTTTGGTTTGCAGTCTATACTGATCTAACTTCAAGTTCACTGATCCTTTCTTTTAGACTATGCAATTTGCTGTTAAATCCATCTGCCTAATTTTTTATTTGAGATACTAATTTTTGTCAACTTTTAAAATTTTGCTTATGAGTCACATTTTCTTGCTTTCACAAGTGTAATAATTATATGCTAGACATTGTAGATGCATCATTATTGAGAATCCAAATTATGTTGTCTTATTTTAGAGAGAGTTTTGGTCTACCAGGCAGTTAATTTACAGGTAGATCAGGCTGATCTCAAGGGAACATGTTTGAGGGATTTGTTATATAAATCAGAAGTAAACTTTCCTCAGTGGCTAGAATAGCCTTGGTCCTAAAGCATGATCTGTCTGAAGTCACAGCTGAAAGCACAGGGCATTCTGCAGGTTCTCCCACACTAGATGGTCTGAATTACAACATTTCTGACCATTTTGCAGCTTCTTTTGAAATCTCTGTTCAGCTGAAATCCCACAGTAGCTGTTTTCTACTAAGCCACGTTGTGTTGCTCAGCTTCATAATAGACCAAGGGTTCAATGGCACTCATTTATAAATTTTGAAGGGGCTACTTCAAATTGAATGCAATTCTCTGCTCTCCAGGATCCCAACCCACAAATTCCAGCTGCCTCTAGATCCTTCAACTCCAATCTCTGCTAAGATAGTCTGCTGCTATCTGGACTTCACTTCCCTATGCCATAATTTGGAAAAGTACCCCCAGGAAGAAGCAGTGATAAATATGAAGCTCCCCTCATGTGTTTTCTCTCTGCTGTCTGAGTCTAACCAGTTTTACCTTTGCTTCCAGCAAGAGGAAACTTCATCAAGGCCAGAACCAGAAACTCCTAATGCTAATTATATTTTTAAAAAGCTTTAAAACCTATTATTTTATCCTGAAAATAAACTGCATAAAAAGCACATATTCATTCCATATGACAGATTATCAAGTCAAGATGTAAAATACTGAATCACCAGCCCATAAAGATATTTAATTCAATAAGTAAATATTCATCAAGCACCTACTATGGGTACAAGATAATTGACATATTGGTAAAAAATAACTCAGAAAATGTAATTTCAAACCATATTATTTCTACTGAACCATCATCAATAAAGCAAATGCACTATACAAAAAAAATCTAATGAATGAATAACCAAGAATCAATCATTCAATCCACCAAGAGCATGCCTATATTCTCAAAAATGACTACATTTTATATTCATGATTTATTTTTTACTGCAAAGATTCCGATTTGCCATGCAAGTAATTTCATTCCTACATAGTTATATTTTTCAATTTCCTACATACTTAACTTTTTTCCTACTAGTAGGTACTACTTGACTGAGTCATTTCTATTTAGCTATTTCAAACTTGCTTCAGCTAACTCTTAATTGCATTTCTAATTTTCATCTGGCCAAATCAAGTATATTTTGCTGGAAAGAAAATACAGCACAGTTTCTAAATGCCATCTCAGCAGTATCATACCAAACAGTAATATAATTCCTCTGATCTTCAACAGATCAAAGTGATACATTTATATCTTACAGATTTACTCTCTTCTATCAGAATAAGCTCTTAACATGTCATATAGCCCAAAATATGCAAAAGGTGACTGTTAGAAAATAGTCAATACAAATAAGTGCATATATTTTTATGAAATTGTGTTTAAGGGTGTTTTAATTTTTTACCTTATATATACCTAATTCCAGTAAAGAAAAATATAATACAACAGAAAGCATTATACTATACATCTTTGATTGATACAAATTAACAATCTGTACTTATTTTTAAAGTTAGGCAAAACGAAACTGTTAAATGGCCTTCTGAAGATGGTAAAAGTTAATTATATCAGCAGTTTCCCTTTTAAATGGAAGCACTACTTTCTCACTGTTTATGAGTCTTAATGTAGTATTTTAGTTGACTGATTTATTACTATTGTTGTCCTAAACTGCTGTCCTAAATCAAGATGACACCCTTTGCAAAAATCCCGTACCTGTAGCACATCTTGGATCTTCACCCACACATCTGCCATATCATACAATTTGATTTCTTCCTGTTGAGTTGGTGGATTCCCGACAGAGTCCTGCAGGTATCCCAGGACCACAGAGTGTGCAGCGGCTACAGCATTAAATTTGTCAAACAGCAGCTCCAGCAGCTCTAGAAGTAATCTAGTCACAAAACAAACAAACAGATAAATAAATAACATTTACACAAACACACAAACATGCAAGCATGCTGATGGATGGTTTATACTGGTCTATAAGAAAAACATCAGGTGTAGTAAAGTGAAATAACATACTTCAACATAAACAGCACAAATATCACACTTCAACAGATTTGATTTCAAACAGTGGCATATTCTATGCAACTTAAAAAAAATACTTTTCTAAGCCTCAGTTACCTTTGCTACAAAACGAAAATAATTTAAGAATTTAAAAATCAATTATAAAGTCCCTAAAGTAGCAATAGAAGCTCAATGAATGTTTGTATCCTTTTTAATGTATTTCAGTGATTACAATTCTACCACTCTATATTCACCCAGGCAGCTTCTCCAAGGAATTCAGGCAATTTCTTCAGACAACAGCTCAGATGTTGCACAGAATATGCTATTCCCTAGCAATAAATTGGGTACTTTGGTAAGGATTCTAATCCTTTTAGTCATGGAAAGCCGTGCTTACTACCATTCAAATACATGGCCTAAGGTGCCTGAAAAAAAAATACACACCTGCCAAGCAATCTGACTTTCACTACAGGGAGCAGCTTAGGCATCCGCATTATCTCATTTATCATAGTGAGATATGCTGGACACATATTATTACATCGATTTTATATACTCAAGGACACAAAATGAGGTTGCAAGGCAGCTGGGCCTAGAACAAAAGTTGATTTCTGTGTCAGGGCATTTAGCCACCTACCTGTCACTACCATACTAGAATGCAGATTGTGTATTTAGAGATAGTACAGAGCTTTAGGTCAGGGTACAAAGCAATTCTTCTACCACCAACACATATAGCTTCACTGATCACCCAAGTCTAGAATCTCCATTTCCTCCTCTGAATTTGTGTAGTATTTTAATCCATTTTTATGGGACTTATCATATATGGTTCACGTATGTGGCTCAGTAATTGCGGGTCACATTTATTCATACACAAATATTTTACTGGCTTTTCCATTATTAATCTTTCAGGGTAGGCACTGTCTTACATGTCTCTGGTATATTCAGGAGCACTTAGCAGTGGTTAGCAATTTTTTTTTTAACTAATTTCCTGTGTATAGCGTGAGAAAGTATCAAAAAATCTTAGATTTTGAGCTTTATTATATATTATATGGCTCTCAGTTCAGAGCTCCTGAACAGACTGGTAAATCTACCAGTAAAGTACAAAGAAATAGTGAAAGAGCTTGACAGAATGCCAGTTAACAAGATGGTGTTACCATAAATAATAGAGGGTATCTACCATCTATCAAAACATATAGCATATTATCTATTACTATGGCTTCTTTACTGCCCAGTTATTGTAATTAGTATGCCAATATGTAGGCCCATAACTATCTTATGACAAAACCCTAATATCTATTGACATCATAATTTAGATGAGACAGAAACAGAATTTATGTAGTACTGCCACTCTAGGACACATACTTAATCTTGAAATTATACACCTTTTGACTGATAATTTAAAATATCATTTTTCATATTTATACTCACATTTCTAAGAAAATTACTCTTTCTCATCTGTGTTACTGGAGAGCGACACAAATATCAGCAAAGGTACAAAGTACAGGAAGATATGACTAACCAGAACAGCTGAAATAGTTAATATGGTGCCTGGAAATAATTGCCATAATAATAAAAATAACAAAACTGGAATTACACATAGTAAATACCCAGTTAAGAGAAGGTTCTACTTTTCAAATAAAGATTATGATAAGTATATAAGACTGTAGTTCCCAAATATAAATCTGCAGATCATATCTATTTTTCAGTGGTAGGCAGTAAAATAAGAAAAATAAGAACAATATATTGACTTTTTGCTAAGTTAAATTTATTTAATTTTATATTTTTAGCACTCTCCCAGCAGAGAAATCTCAGTTATTTTCTGTCATAATGGTAGCTATGTTGCCAAATGTCCTTACTTGACAAAATTAAAATTTAATGACCATATGTTATACTCAACACTTTTGGAAAGCACATTGATCCGTGACATTCAGAAGCCTGAAGCCCAGTAGTGTGCAACATCCCAGTGGCTTGAAGTTCTAGGTACTGGACTGTGACCTAGCAATAAAGTAGAAAACAATGGAAGAGCAGTGGCTCCTCTAAATGAAGGGGTGCTGCTGTCTGGTTATCTCTCGGGGCCTAAGCTCCATGACTGCATACCTTATCTGTCAGTTAAGGAGAAGAACAGCTTGACAATGCTCTAACAGAGCCGTGCTCCATTTAGAAAAGAGACCAGTGGACAAATGAAGTGTAAGATGAGATTCACGGTATCCAGCAAAATCATGGAAATAGAGATCCTAGATAAAATGCAAACATAGTGCCAGCTTCAGCTACTGCTGGAGGCTCAAGGTCAAGACAGGCCTGTGTCTACAGAGGCCATCACAGCCTAGGAAACACGGGAGGGACTTAAGAAGATACAGGCCAGGCATGGAGAGTATGCACTGGAGTTCTACCTATGTGAGACATTCACCCACGTTAATAGGAGGGAAGCTGGCTTCTGCTTTATCACAAAGCAATCATGTAATAGTAATAAAACTGTAGTTCTGACAGTAAAATTAAAAATATTACTATCCCAGATGATACCATCAACAAAGTGAAAAGGCAATTCATGATATCAAAGTAATGATTTTCAAATCTCACAAGTCCTGATAAAAGACTGGTAATGAGAATACCTAAAAACTCCTAACTTGTAATAAAGACAACCAAATTTTAAAATGGACACAGATTAGAATATACATTGCTGCAAAAAAGAAAAAAATAGCAACATATATATAAAAATGAATGACTAATAAGCAACAACAAGATGCTCAAAAACACTAGCCATCGGTAAAATGCTAATCAAATCAAAATGATATTGCACTTTGATATACCAGATAGCTATAATCAAAAGACAAAAAGTGTTGGTGAGGTGGTTGAAAAATTAGAACTTTCATACAAGGCTGGTAGGAATAGAAAATGGTACTGCCACTGTGGAAAAAAGTTTGGCAGTTCCCAAAAACATTAAACACAGAGTTACCATATGGACAAAGTGATTTCATTCAAAGGTATACATTCGAGAAAAGTGAAAACATATGTGCCCACAAAAACTGGTACACAAATGTTCATAGCAGCATCACTCATATTAGCCAAAAGGTGGAAAAAAATCCAAAGGACCATCAACTAATGAATGAAAAAACAAAATGTATAGAGAATATTATTCAGCCACAAAAAGGAACAAAATACTGCGATGCGATATGGTACAACAGGAGAAAATCTTGAAAATATTATGCTAGGTGAAAAGATCCAAAAGACCACATATTGTATGATTCTATTTATATGAAATACCCAGAATCAAAAAAATTTTAGAAACAAATAATACATTAGCGGTTACTTGAACTAGGTAGGACCTGACAGAGTATAAGGAATTGGGACACAAAAAATGTACTAGAACTAGATAGTGCTAACAGTTGCGAAATCCTGTGAACATACTAAAAGCACTGAGTTACATATTTTCAATAAGGTGAATTGTATAGTAGGCAAAGTGTATCTCAATATAGCTCTTTAAAAAACTTATTTCAAAGAGTAGCTGTGGCTCTGAGTAAGGACAGTGAGGGTCCAACGTCTCTTTTGTGGTGAAGAGAACACTCACAAAATGGTGGAAGCCTATGCCTTTGAATTCTTACTACTGGGAGGACATTAACTGCTCCCTTGTGGTGCATTTGGTTTTTGTTTGTTTCTCCTTCTTATATAAATAACATATAAGAAAGTAAAGACTTCCAGGGCCTGAGGCTGGGGCTCAGTGGTGGAGCACTTGCCTTGCACGTGTGAGGCACTGGGTTCAATCCTCAGCACCACATAAAAATAAATAAACAAAATAAAGGTACTGTGCACATCTACAACTAATAATATATATAATAATAATAATATATAATAATATATATTTTAAAAAGAAAATAGAAATTAAAGACTTCCATTCTTTCCCAGAACTGATGCTTCCTAGACCTTTAATTATGCGGGGCAGGGTGGAACCTCAACTTTTCCAGGAGTCTCTATCTGTAAGAGCAAAGAATCAGTACCTGTTCTAGGTGCCTCACAATACTGCCAGAAAGATACAATTTTAAAATGAACAGAACTAGTTGAGATAATGGTGTAATATTAGAGAAAGCAGCAGGTTCAGAATTTCTTTTTCTGGGTTTCTGGCTTGAGTAACACTGAAGATGATGGTTACTTTTCCTAGGAGGGAGTGAAGGGGGGAATAATAATGTCAAGATAGAAATTTGGGTTTAGCCCTGAGTATGTCAAGTTTAAGGTGTTTTGTCCTTAGGTACTTGGGTATGCAAGTCAGGAGCTCAGGAGAGAGATTGATAACTGGAAATTGTAGAAGTATAAATATTTGAGAGGATGAGATCACTCAGAGATAATATGCAGAGTAAGAAAAGCAGGCAAGCCAGGACAGAGGCGACACTGTAGGAGAAGACAGCAGTGAAGGATGGTTAGGAAGCAGCTAGGGAGGAAGAAGGAACCAAAGGAAATGTGAAGACAAGGGAAAAGAGAGTATCATCAGAGTCAAGGGTATGCAGAGGTCAGCTAAGGGAGAAAGAGAAATGTACAACTCACAGGTCCCCAGGGAACTGGGCAAGAAAGATTCCAGTAGAGCTTTGGAAGCTAAGGAGTGAATGACTAATAAGGAAAAGTAAACCAAGGTCAATCTCAAGCTTTGTAAAGGCACAATGTTCCTCATCAGCATGTGCACCTTAAAAAAGGAAAAGTAAGAAGATGCTCCATTAATGCATCAAAGAATAAAAGAGATTAGGAATCACCCAAACAAACAGGACCAAGTCCACACTAGTATGGCCCAGTTTAAAGCCACCAGAAATAAACTGAAATATGTCATTAACATTCATATACACTCTCCATCTGCCCACACACAACATAAGACTGTGAAAACAAGTGTGTTTGCCTTTAGCTGCAGAG